GGTACCAATACAATTACAATGCAGACTACCTAATAGTTCTATTCTATACAATTATAGCTCCAAAATGATATACAGAGTGTATTTTTAAAGATCCCAAAATTATAGTAAATCTATAATTTTCCCCCGTTGAAATGATCGAGCCTTTACCCTAACCCAAAATTCTCTCTGACAAAAGAAATACCCGTATACCTCTTCACCTTTGTTTGCTGGGTCATGTCACAGACTAAGCCGTTCCAAAACTGAAATACCTGTGCGATTGTGTTAAAAAATATTGGTACTAGCTAACGGATATGTGGGTATTGCCTATTCACTGTAAGGAAAAGTCACATATTTTCTACGTTACCTTATTTTTGTTACGACAATGATGTTTAAAAACTTGATTTAATTTTTACAATCATTTCATAGGATACAAGGGAAACCTGCTTCACTGAGTAGTCCCTAAAAAAACTGCATACGCTGTGTGGCCATGAAATACATGCACTTCAAAATGAACTTAACGATTTTTTTTTTTTTTTCGTTTTGTGAGTCTATTTTTTTTTTTTTTTTTTTTGAAAATCTTCGGTAAAAGATTCGAAAACGAAATTTAGGAGAATTTACTCAGAATATCAATTTTGTCCGAAAGATTTAAGTGCCCCACCTGCTTCTGCCATAAAAAACAGGTTTTTTTCTTATCTTCTTTCCTTTATACTTTCAATTTAGTGTACAGTGGCTATGTCACAGATGACTTCCTAATTTTCACGGACAGACAAAATGGTGTAATATGGCAAGTTGATCTGATTCAGTGGCAACTTCACTCCATCTTTGCCCAGTGTAATAATCCCATATCCGCAAGTTACGACCCCATAGAGCAACGTGTTTACTGGACTGAAGTTGTCGCCTTCGCTAAAATTAGAAGAGTAAATGTTGATGGAACAGCGCCGGAGACCGTCTTTAATTTCACTGTTGGTAAGTGTGATGTTCACCCACTTCCACTGACAGATTCAGAATTTAAATTTCAGGCATAGTGACACACACAGCGACACACACACACACACACACACACAGAGAGAGAGAGAGAGAGAGAGAGAGGTGAGAGAGGGAGAAAGGTCATTTTAAAGGTCAAACTTCTCTTCTCAGGGAGCGCGCCGGACGCCGTTACAGTTGACCATATTTCCCGCCTATTGTACTACACCGAATTCAGATATGAAACCATTGGTGTGATGAGACTGGACGGCTCCCAGCACAAGATCTTATTAAGAACTGGATTGGATATGCCGAGAGCGATAACGTTAGATCCAGTTAATGGGTATGTAAGAGGGATTCACTGTTTTTTTAGAGTTGGTATTATCAAAATTGAAATTCGTGGTTTTTGTGTCTTAATCTAGTTCTGTTTTAAAGGTGCATAATACTAAATTTGCACTGCTCTGTTTTAGCTCTAATCAATTAAAGGTAAAGGTAAAGGAATTGAATTTTTTCTTGATTTCATAAAATGCACAAGCGTCACCAAAGAAACATTCCTCCTCGCGATCCATAATGGTTAGATAAAGTCACAAATTTCTTTTAGACTTCACTAAATTTAAAAAATAGCATCTAGCAAACTGTTTTTCAATAAGCAAATCAAAGCGGCAATGAATACCACAGCAGCTGACGTGATGAGACACACGACTTTTACGACGCATAGTGCTTGGGCCAGAAACTCACAATCTTTCCTGGTCGTAAAGGTTGGTCAAGTCATCGTCTGGGATATCTTATAAATTTTGCAAAATTACACACATATATGGCCTTTCATCAGCATGCCTTGACAAATTCACTGTTGATGAAAGAAATAAATGCAACTACATGTATGCTCCAAAATGTTTTTTTTTTAAATTCAATATATACTTGTCCTAACACTAGTGTATTTCCGCTCAGGGTCAATTTTGCATTATTTTGTTTTACTTAATTAAAACTTTTGACTTAAATTTTAATCGAGTTCCAATAATATTCAATGCAGACATAATAATGCATAAAAATACTGTAGAAATAATGATCCCCCCCAAAAAATTAGTACAACTTGATAAACAAAAAAGAAAACAAGAAGTACTGTTTAATGATGCAAAGTTCCATACAAATTTTGTTGCGTTAGTCATCTTCACGTATAAAACAAAATAAACGAAATTACTACGGAACCAACTCTGGTTTGACTTCCCAAAAGTAAGAAAAAGTACAAAGCTACTGTTTTTTCACTAACGCATATATAATAGAGATACGCATCTATTAATTTTTTCCTAGCCTTGCAGAATATCTTTGACATTACCTTTGAAACGTGACGATTGATGACGTAACTTGGCATGGTGTTAAATGACGTAAAGCGTACACGTTTCTTCCAAACTTTGTTTCAGTTGGATGTATTGGACGGATTGGGGAACGGAAGCAAAGATCGAACGCGCGCACATGGACGGCGAAAACAGACAAAGTGTGGCGTACACGGATCTATCATGGCCGAACGGAATAGATATTGACATCCCTGGTGAGATTTGAACGACATGGGATAATAAAATTTCATTTTCTTAGTGATCATTTCTTCTTAACACGTATGTATGACTCGCTCAGAAGTACTTGAATTACGATGTCTTTTCAGACCTTCATTATTTATTATTAAGACTTTATTTTTTATGTTTGCAAAAGTTGTGATGTAAAATCAAGGCCTTTAATAGTTTTTTTCTAAATTCTAAACAAAAAACGTACACAAACACCTAATTATAAGTTCTTTTTACAGAACAGCAACTTTATTGGTGCGACGGAAATTATTCCAAAATTGAAGTGTCCGACCCAGATGGAAGTAACAGACGGTCTTTGATCGAAGCGGGAGATACTCTTGGTGGTCACTACTTCGGCATTGCCGTGGACGACCGGCAGATCTATTTCACTGATTGGAAGTTCAATGCCTGGTACGACACTTCCATTTACAACATCTGCTATAAAAATTTCTGGACTAAAATGTTTTGTAAAATGCTGTTATGATCTTAATTAAAAATGTCTGCAAAATGCTTGGATGTGAATTTAACCTGGATTATGACACACATCTATCTTTAGACCTACTTTCTTAAACGTGTGAGTATACCATTGCTTGAGCGTTGCAGAAATTCGTCAGAAGGGATTGGGTTAAACAGGCTTCCAGATTCATTTTGCTTCAAATTGTTAAATATACATGACAACCAAAATATGTTTGCATTCCCTTTAATGTAAACAAATGACAGCTATCACTTTCTGGCACACCAAACAAATCAACATGCCAAAAAATATTGCATCTTCTTCAAATATCTATCGTAAACTTAACCTGCCTGTCCGCCTCCGCCTCCAACCCCCACCCCCACCCCAACCATAAATTTGCAGTGGAAAGAAAAAATTAGACAAAAGAAAATCATAGAAGGAGGTATGATACTGTTCGAAACTATATGCGGTGGTATTTGGCTGGGTTTAGTGGCAATAATTTACTCTGTAATTTAATGTCGCTATTGCGAACCAATGCATTTCTTTCAAATCTGTTTATATCCATTGAGTTATATATTCAAGTTATCTCAAATGATTTGTATTCCTTTGTTTGTTTCTTTTGTTCCATTTTTGGTATTTTAATGACGCACATTTTAACAGGGCGTTCCACAGAGCCAACAAACACGACGGCAGTAACTCGACTGTTGCTGGCGCCAGTTTTATTCCAACGGCCAGGTTAACTGGTGTTCACGTGTACAGAAGGTCATATCATTTATCAGGTGAGGTCTGGGTTGTTTACAGAAAATATAGTGTCGGTTTTTGGGACTAATAACCGTATGTTTTATTTATAAGTATATGTATACTCCCATGGTTTCTCTAAGCAAAATTAGCTTGCTTTTATTGTTGTCCTTCAACGAAGTCCTTTGAGAAATTTGTAATTAGTTAGTTATTCTTAGCAGATACAGTCCCCCGTTGCTTTACATGCGGTTGGCTATGCCGTTGTATCATTCCAAGTTTAACCCAATAGTTATAGATGTATTTAAGACATTTCAAAATTTTCCCGGAGTCTCTAGTTTTTGAATAATATAATCATGTACCCTGCAAATTCGTATGGTAACTTTTAAGATCATATTATACAACGTGTAGAACTACCGCTCCCGACAATGCATTATTGTAAATGCTATAAAGTATCAGTAAACGTCTTACGAGCTTAGTGAATATATGGCTATTGCCTTCAGTCTCTGAACCCTGTTTACAAATGGACTACAGTCAGAAATCAATCTAAGCTAAGCAAAGGAAAGTAGTCTTATGCGAATAAGGTGCGTGTCACAAAGATGATGCATGTGTACCAAAAGATACATACTGGTATACTGGTACAACGCGTCTATATCCATATGTCATTGCACATCATTTCATGTCCTTGTATATCGCCACACATTAACAATTGCAAATGGTACCTTAAACTAATTAATCCATGTACGTGCACTAGATTGTACGCGCGATGTCTTGTTGTAATTTACATTCTACTTGATATGGCAACTCTGTACTTTAGGTTCCAACGTGCGATGTCTTGTTGCAATTTACATTCTACTTGATATGGCAACTCTGTATTGTAGGTTCCAACGGCTGCAGCATAAACAATGGGGGTTGTCCCTACCTGTGTCTGCCAAAACCCAACGGCAGAACGTGCGCATGCCCAGATGAATTGTCCGGTTGCATTTCGACTACATCTGCTACCACATCCACAACTACTGTTGTAACAACAAAGCCCACTACTACTACTACTACTACTACTACTACACCAACAACGACGCCTACTACCACTTCTACTACAACCACTACGCCAACCACGACGACTACTACTACACCTACTACCACCACCACCACCGCCACCACTACTACTACTACGCCAACCACAACGATTACTACTACACCTACTTCAACTACACCAACAACCACTAAGCCAACCACGACGACTATTACTTCAACAACAACAACGCCTACTACGGCTTCTACTACGCCTACTACCACCACCGGCACAGCGTCAGTGTCCGCTTTACCTCCCACGGTCACGCCAGCGTCTACCACCTCGAACGTAACTCCCACCACTGAAAAAGATGAAGCTCGATTTGAAGCAGGTAGTATGACTTCCAAAGGTCAAACATAATTATAAAATAGAACAGTTGACGTCTGATAATGATTTTGAATAGTAAAATTTTAAAGAGAGATTGTTTTATCTTCAAAAGGTGACTTTGAGACTGCAGTTGTTGCAAGAAAATTTGTTGCTGTAAATTTGATGATTTGCAAAAGCATCTAAAGTTTGCGGCATGTTTGCAAGAATCTTCAAATTTTGCTAAGAGAGATCTGCATTTTAATTGTTTCCCGCTATTGCCAGATACCCATTGTAGAGGTCAAATGTAAGAAATTTAAGATCTTGGAAATGTAATATCATCACTTTCGGCTTCATCAATTTCCTAAAAACTTTCTAAACATTGCTTTTATCTCCATCAATTTCGTAAAAACTTTCCAAACATTACAACATTTATTTTTATGATTCTAATAGTGAAAGGCGAGGACTCGGCAAGCATCCCGCTGGTAATTGGTGTCGCAGTGGCCACACCGTTGGTCACCGTTATTTTGGTGGTGGTCATCATACTAGTATTTCTTAGAAGACGAAGGTAATATATATATATAGAAGACGAAGGTAATATATATATATAATATGTATATATATATATATATATATACGCTTTCACAGACACACACACTCTCTCTCTCTCTCTCTCTCTCTCTCTCTTAATTTTTGTATTTTTGTAATTTTTCATTCATATGTTTCTTTATCAACTCATCTTGTTTACTGTGTATTTTATTGGTTTGGTTTCCCATTTTGCATATCTTTTAGTCAGTTCAGTACATTATTGTATATTTCCAGTCATAGATTTTTTCTTGCAAATAATTTATCATCCTTTTTTTCCTTGAGATGGGACAAAAATGGCGTACATTTGTGAATCTTATTTCAGAACACTGCCACCTGACCCACTAAACTTACATGTTCCTCACCTCAACCCAGCGTTTTCCGACGGTCCGGCACCTGCCCCGCCTAAATCACCTAAAGGACAACTTCGTGTGTCAACCAACTCGGACTATGACACAATTCCAGCTGATTACCTAACATTGACGGCAGATGATACTTATGAAGTACCAATGACCCAAGAGGATCAGTATTCGGATTATGCCAGCATCTTACCGCAGAATATCGACGTATAACCAGCAGCTTCAAAGGGGGTATCTCCCCCCTCCCCCCCCCCG